TTTTGCAAATCCGAATTTTAGTTTGACCTTGTCCTCCCGTTCTTCACTAACGTTATGACTTAGGACTTTGAAGGCTGCGGGAAGGTCTAGATGCTGTTTGACGGAGGACGAAGGTATCAGATATCATTTTTGTACTCACGATACACCTACAGCCACTTATTCAAATTGCTGATCGATAAAGCCAGTTTACGCTTCGATAAAGGACAGCCGGCCCATCTGTCGGAAACGTCAACGAACAAGTAGACTCATTCCGGGGAGCATAACATGACATCTGAAAGAGATGTGTACTTATTATCTACTGCATTTGTCTAATTGGCGTAGAGTATCCACTGAAGGTTGTTATGAGCTCATGCGGAGAGCGTAACACGATCTTCTGTCTCCTTTCTCCGTGTTATATGCCTGTGCAAATCCATTTGCGTCTTATAGAAGTTTCTAATTTATATTCCTTCTGCAGGTTGTCAGGTTGTAAACTTCAGTGACTAAAGGAGTTACTTTGTTTTTCTACAGAAACTGTTTCTAATTTAGAGCATATTTCGAGAGGCGAACTGCATTTTCCGGTCGCTACTGTGTCCATTGTGTTTTGGGTAAAGATGCTCATCTAAAATCTACGCAAAGGAAGAATTCAAAGGTCCACACCTACATTTCCCTCAAGCAAGCTGAACTGAACTGAGCTCTTCGTGTCTCCATGAGCTGAACAATCATCACAGTCTCCCTTCCGTTTGTCAGCCATCTTCTGTTTCTACTACCGGCCGCCCTGCGACGGCGTGTAGGGTTCTGGATCCAGGCGCAAGCACAAGCGTCAGTGCATTTTTCTTGGCGATTAGTTAATTCACTTGCAAAATAGTTAATATTAGACAGAATGACATAACTGACCAAAAAACGAGGAGATTGGAATGACCATTTCTGGCTTATTGGCCATCATCAGCCAGTCATACCCAATCCCAATCATGGACCACCCGAGATTCGAAGCCGCGACCCTTTGATAATGGAGTGTAAAATCCTATAACTCAGCTATGGGTTCGTTGATTTGTCAGCTGCGATCTGGAATATGATGACAGTAGGGCGCTCAGAGATCTAGTTAGGAATCACGCTCGTCCCGTTTAGCCTGGATGCCCAGTCTAATGCTCTCGCAGGCATTCGGATCGCGACTTGTAGCATATGATGAAATAGAAATTTGAGTGATCCACACTTGGGATGGCTTATGGCTGGCTGAGGACGGCTATTAAGCCGGAAGTGGCCATTGCGGTCTCCTTTGTCTTAGCTGGTCCTTCTGCGCATACTACTTACTGCTGTGCGGCTGCTAGTGGTGCTCGAGAGTGGGTCTCTAATGGCGGAACTGGGCGCGTGCGTCCCGTAACTGACAGACCGATGAACGTCCGTTTACCAGGAGTAACAAACTGCAACACTTCAGGGCTATAAATCCTTTATAGGCCTTTGTGGAGTCGTTTGTGGTGTTCAATTAGCGGTTTAATGCATGTCAGCACATTACTGTTTATTATTCCGTGTCCAGGTGGTGCTACTACTGCCTGCATGTCTCATAAACAACCCCCCTCCTCTCCGTACGAATCAACGTTCTGGTTTGATGCCTATAAACCTTACAGCGAATCACAGTGTTTGTGCCACTCGAGGCTGTACCTGGACGCACAGACTACACCAGAGGACCGCGCGAGCCTGGTAATAAAACCTGCGTTTCAGCTCTTGTGGGAAAATATTGTGGCAGTGTATACACTGTGGCCGCCGAATTGCTGCTGATTGTTTATTCATTGGGGGCCGCAACCGTTCTGAATTCCGAATAGATCTGTTAACGTTAAGGCCTGCGCTATTGGTTCACTGATGAAGCGCACCTTCAACTGGCCGTTGTGATCTGCCTAGTTTGCGGAATGACTGACGGAGGCGCGTCCGATTTGACAGCTGTCTTGCTTTCCGCAACGGCTGCCGATTATTGATCTTCGATCGCTGTGGCACCGTTGTTGATGGCTGTAGTCTGCGATTTCAAAAGAGAAACGGAACTCCTATATCTAGTTTTTTTCTGTTAATTTGGTGAGACAGTCTTTGAAAACCCGGTTGTTTACATGTCGGTGTGACATCTACATTTGTACACACAAAATATTCATTTTAAAATAGTATTCACAAACTGTGAGTAGCATTGTTTTTACAAATAACTCTTGTACGGAGTTCGGGTTCAGACTGTTGAGGGACAACAAGGGACACCTATAACTATCCAAGCGTTCCTTGAAGGGCTGCAGGGACGTCGCCTCCATGACTGATTGCTGGAGATTATTCCATTGTTTTGTGGCCCGTTGCGTGAAGAATTCCGGACGGAGATTACGCTTAGACATTTTCATGCGCGGCTTCATTGTGTGCCCACGAAGATGAGGCGAGAGGTACCACTGAAACATGTCCTCAGAGCGCAATCCTTGCTGGAGACCGTATAAACGAAGATGAAATTCCCCCTTTATAGTCTGTTATACAGAGGGAATAGATTTAGGCGTTCCAGTCTTCCTATGTAAAAAGGTGGTTTTTTAGACCTGTCACTAGCTTTGTAACATGACGCTGCACTTTTTCGAAACGCCTGTATGTCATATCTTATCTGTGGTCGAACGATTGTGCTCGTACACGGTTGGGCTGTGTTATTAATAGTCACTTCCATGTGTCAATTAACTCACCGTTTGATCACATCTTCATTTCAGTGGGGTCCGTCGTCACTGAAAGCCTTTTCTCTTTGCTACAATAGAGATCCACCTGCCCTCTTGCAGCCGTTCCCTTCCAAAAAGCTTTCGATTGCTTTTTCGCCATTTCAGGGAACTCGTTTTCGCAGACCTAAGCTTGGCGAATGGGTCACTTAACGTGTAGATTGACCTTCAGTGGCTGCCTACGCCTATGGCTGACAGGTCACA